TATGGTAATTCTCACACTCACCTCCGCCATTTTTGTAACACAAATACGGAAACCTCCACACGTTTCCAAGTCCCACGGAAACGCTGATACAGGAGAACAAAAAGTCCAGCTTGTTGTCCCAGCCTCCGCGTTCCGCGTCCTCTTCTCGGTCCTCCACTTCCGTCGCCCTGTTCTGCGGCACGGAAACGATCGTTTTTGGCGCACCGTGACTCGAATCTCGTCGTCTACTCGAGCCAACCGATTTCGCCTTGAACTCTATGAACGTCTGCTCCGGATCGACCTGATCTTTCTGCTCTCCCCAATAATACATCTTCTCCGCCATAATTCCTGAAATCACGCGATACGTCTTTGTCGTTTTGCATGCTCGTGACCTTGAACGTGGTTCAGGAGACCGACAGCAGCAGACTAATTCCGCGTAATTGATCGTGATTGCGGCTGAGATTACGTAAAAGTGTCCTGCACGTGCCGAGCCATCTTCGTCGAGAGTGACACGCGACAATAGCGAAACACGCGAGTTATGAGACATAATCGAGGTTAGTTTCGCCTGGAGATTACTTCGTGGCCGTTCTCCGGTAATTGCTGCTACACGTAATCGCTTTTTTAGTTACAGCTTCGAATTCCGCGGTTTCCGCGAGGGTAGGTTGCGCGTGGGTGGTATACGGTTTCACGATTCTCTGACGTTCTTTTTACTTCGCGTCAAACGTCTTTCGCTGTCTTCGAGTTTTTGCAACGAACGATCCTCCTTTTTAACTAAAAATGCAACGGTTTCTGCGCTTCGACCGACTTTAATTCGTATTTCCCCGCTATCTCCTTTCGTTCGTTCTCCTGCATTATGATAGAAATTTAAAGCTGCAATTGGAGACTTCAACGCGTACTAAAATATCTTCTGCATAGTTAATTAACCCCTTAAGCTACGATTTACGTTCGAGAATTTTGGGCCGTAAACCTAAACAAGCTATTATATATTATATTTGGCCCGATCATCGTACTACGGGCTATGCCCGTAGTTGCAGGTTAAGGAGTTAAAATACGATGAAAGTAAATAGGTATACGTACGATTGCGATTCTGTTCCTGTGAAAATAGACATCGATAATACCAGAAACGCTTGTTCGTTCTTAACTATAAAAGCGAAAATCCGAGCTATTTCGACCGATCGATAATTCCAGCGTGAAGAATATTTTCGTTCTCTGATATCGTTCCCTCTAAATGAGACATAAAATTTGTTATATTTGCCTAAACGAATTTCGTCTAGTCTACCTTCCGTAAACAGACGTTAGAATTCGAACGTTTCAACATTTATCGTTTACAGGATGCAAACGTACGTAGTAGATCAATTCGCAACGCAAACATTGTAACGTTCTACCAGTTTGGCCGCATAATCCATACAATTTTCTCGTCAACCAGCGAAAGTCGATTTCCAGTCGATAAACAACGCAGCGTTATCTGGTTACTGCGTCGCGTCGTTTCCTAGAAATCGAAGCTAATGGGTACTCGTGTTCTTATGGTTTAACGCGGAATCGATGTTTATTATCCTATGAATAAATAAAGGAAGCTTGCGAAACGACGCGTGATTTCCGAAGAATACGTGAGCAGCGTAAAAAGCTTGGTCAATTTTCTAGGACGCGTACTCTCGCTCGCGCGGATTTACATATACTTTCGCATCGAAATCGACATTAAAAGCTTTGATTCCGATCTACCTACGTCGTTGCACGTTTCAACAGCGGTCGCAAGCACGAGCAAATAAGTAAAGATTATTGCATCACCTTGTGTATCGCGACGTAGATACGCTGTACAACTCAGTACGCTAGAGACTAAAACTCGCGTTTATAACGCGTTTCACTTAGTGTAAAAAGTAACGATATGTTAATAAGGTTTCATTTAATCGATATCGTCTGTTTTCGTTGTACGAAACGCGTATAAATGTTGCGAGCTGAATCTCCTGTGCATCTATAGAAACGTAAATGTAAGAATATCGGCTATACACGTATATGTATCCTTCTAACCGATAAGGATTGATTAAGGGTTCAATAAGTACGAAAAGTCGATCAAATGATATCGTACATGGATTTAAATGCCGCGCGAGACATACGTATCTTTAGACGTAAAAAGAAGATATAGAAACGAAGATTCAATGGAACAACGTTTATTTCAGGCTTGTAAATCTCTGAAAGGAATTCATTAAGTTAATCGAATTGTATCGTGGACGAATCGTGTACACTGTTCAAGATATTGCACGTTGTTTGGCCACAAGCAAAAGTAGCACGTAGCTACATACGTAAATAATAGATTTAATTACCATCCGTCTGATTCAGCACACGCGACATCGAATTTTGTGTTTCGACATTGCATGCAACGTTTATAAACGTCTATTCCGATAAACCTCTCAATTTACGACTCTATCACTGTCACGCGTAACCTTTATTCTCATTAAATGGCATTTCACTCACATGTCCAGTCGATGGGAATGAAACTTATGCAGCCAGACGAACGTACCAAATTGGCAATGACGAAGCGCGAATTATAGCTCGGTTCAGCGATAAAATTAAAATCTCAGCGTTTCCATGTTCGTACTCGAAATTATTTCCACTAACGAGATTGTACGTAGGTCGTTGATTCAGTTCCTCAAAATCCTTCGCGATAGTTTGCCGCTATAATTACAACGATATTCGATGAATGTAACTAAATTGGAATGTCGTGTGTCGTTCGTAGGTAATTTTCAATGAAACCTGATCGAACAAGAAGTCCGGGATCTCGCGCTGAATCGATGGCGTCATACATCGACGATGATGCTCTTGGCGGATGACGTTCAGCCAAGACAAATTTTGCGTACGAATCGTTCGTATTCCTATATACACAGTGGTGAAAAAGTATCTATAATCCCTCGATTAATATTTGCTTTGCTAATGACAACAGCTACTCCATCCCTTGATATCCAGTTCTCGATATACTGCTCATCCCTTAGGAATTGATATCCAACCCTTCGATACGCGCAAAGTACGCTTCGCTACGTCAAACACAGCGGTGTCGTATGACACGAAAGTATCAATAAAAACACCCACCAAACGATTACGACGAAATGAAATAAAACCAACGAAACTGTAAATTCGACGAGTGGATCGATTTCTCTCGTCAATTTCCCTTGGATCGTATATCGTCTACGATCTCAGAGGATTATTTCTAATGCGATCTGTCGCACGATAGTCGCGATAACCGGCTCCGGCTCAATGAAAACCCGCCCCCTTTCCTCGAAAGGGTTGATTCCTGCGTGACGCGCGTCCCGCTACCCCTATTACCACCCAGCCGATTCAAAATGAGCAAACAGGAACTGCATAGGGAAAATGTACACGTGTCCCGCATCCGTGTGTCCTGCAGGCGCAACTATTTGTATTCGTGTGGTACCATACGTATGGTGTAAGTGTGCGCGTGAGATCGACACACGTGTGCGTACACGCGCGGTCGAGTCTGCTTGTATACAAATACTCGTGCGCGCGCTACGGATGCTGAACGCAAAATCAATAACAGCTTCGTGTCACGTTACGCCGTACACGTGGATTTGTATATTCTTCTAACTGCTCGTTTCTTTGCAAAATTCTCTGCCGTTTTTTACAGCTGTTGCTATTCCTGTTTACATCCTGTATTGGATCAGCGAGGGATGGTCCAATCTGCGACGTTGTAATCGTAGATTCGCTTGATTCTCATGGCAGAATAATTGGCACGGTCATCGCGTCGTTATTGAAAAACGATGTTAGCGGGGAGGAGGATTGAAAAGAAAGACGTACGAACCTGGAGAGACAGATCTGTTCGCGAAGATGGTAAAAACGATACGAGGCTCGCGCGTTTCTTGGCGAATTACGGTTTTAGCAAATTAGATTAGATTAGACAAGATGCTCCAACTTATCTTACCTGAAGGCTGCGAGATCTCAAGGTAACCACGAGATCCACGATTTTCGATTCGGCTGAAATTTCTTCGCAACGCACCTAAGCTTCCGTAGCTCGTATATTCTTCGAATTATTCGTCTTCCAATCGATCGTTTACATTGCTCGATGCTCGGCAGCCCCTTCCGGCAGCAGAGTACGACGTCCCCAGAGAAAAACAATCCGTTCACGCCCGATCTCTCAGCGTCGTGGACCACAGTTTCTCCTCGTCTTCCTGTCCGCGAGAGTCCAACTACTCAAAATCTAGTTTATCCGATGTTGATGCTTCCGATCGAAATCGTTCGTACAGAAGACAACCGACGCGAACGACGCACTTTCGCCTGGAAACTGGTTTTATTACGTGTCAGATCGTGGAGAGTGTGCCTCGTGTCGACCTACCCTGCGAGGGATGTCGTTACGGAATAATGCTTTGCCGCAAGACGGGGAGTGTTATCCCTTTGAAACGCATGCGCGGCCGCGAACACCCCCTCCAGAAGCCTGGAACAAAGCTGTCCCTGGGCTTTGAGCCCCCAGGACCCTTAGATTCGGTAAATAATCAAACTGGGTGGCGAGAACACATCATAGATGATACATGTTCGACGTGTACGTCGAAATTACGTAGGGGTGGCTTTCGGCTTTATGCATTTACGCGCGGTCTGATCGTTTGTAGTTGAACATCGGATGGAAAGAACGTGGATCAGTAGACTGCGGAGAAATTGAAATGCGCCAAAATGTGCGGAATACTCGCGGTACGTAAGAACGTGGTTCTTTAATTGCGTTCAGCGGAATTTGAGTTTGCAGAGTAAGATTCGTTGATTTTCTCATTTTGACAAGCAGCACGATATCGCAGAGAGACTTTTCATAGGCTAAGAAGAAGAATTCGTGTAGGATAGGTCAGGTTTAATGCAGGACAAATACGTCAGAACGATTAAACGTATATATAATTACATATACGTTGTTTTCCGCATATTCCATTTGCCAGAACGCACTGTATCGCAGCATTAGACTTCGTGCGTAGGCACCATTGAACACAGATTGTACACTGTACATTCTTCGATATTAGAGAGATACGTCTGTACATCTTAGAGACTTAACCAGGCAATAAAAAAGAGCATCAAGATTATGGAAAAATACGTAGGCGTATAATTTTTATGGTACAATACAATAGTTTCTATAATATTTTACACCTACATCGTTCTATCTAATCGTTCCTACCATAGATAGGAAAGATCAGACGAGCACTATATTATATAGTTTCTAAAAGCTTTTGAATTTTTCTGTGGCCTTTAAAAAAAAATATATAATACGTCGTCGACCAAGGATAGTTCATCGGTAAACACTGTGCTATCCTTCCGCGTCTGTATTAAAAAATATACGACCATGGGCGTCCTTGCAACTGAACTTGTCCATTTCCTACCCCACAGCCACGAACGTCTATCGAACTTCCCCTTTATTTATACCCTTGGAACCGGGTCGTTCGGCGTGTCATTGGAAGAACACGCGTAGCGACCCAATTTGTACCACGTCTCTCGGACCTGTCGCCAGTCGAATCCATCCTAAGCACGCAATGCGCTCATAAACATTCCGATTTACTCGTCATTGGTACGTCGTTGTTAATCTTCGCGTGTCGCGTATAAAAATCAATTTCTATATTCAGGCTCCCGTCCGAGCAACAGCGACCCAGAAAATCGGTCAAAATTTTCCATTGCCAGCCAGAATATCGGATCTCGTTTAGCAACGCCGTTTATCGTACAACAGCACCTTTAAAGTTGGCCATTCAACGACGCGCAGCTTAGTCGTCCGTTCGTCAGCAGCCGCTCGACTGGTCGCTCGAGTTGTTAGGTATCACCGTGTGACATCCGCGTTTGTAACGTAATTGTCGGGGCGATAGGTCGTCGGAGTCCTGGATGTCGTTCACCACGGCTACCGTGTGCAGAGACTTCATGGACGCTTTCCTCTGAGCGTCCTTGTAGCCGGAGAAACTCGGCTTTGGCATCCAGTTCGTGCCGTAGGATATCGGCAGGATTTCTCTTCGAGATTCGTTGATCAGGTCGCTCGAGATCTCGGATCGGCACTCGTCGCAGATGGAGCTGGCCTCGCTGTCGTTCATCGGCGCGTTCATCTTCTTCTCGATTAGCAGGGGCTCTTGTTGCGGCCAGTGTGGTTGCAGTACGCACGTTACGATACTGGATTCAAGTGGCAGATGAAATTCTTAAGGTTAGGATCCAAGGGTGCAAAGTGTTTAGGTTTGTATGATATCGAGCGGATGTCGTTTTTGATCGAACAAACACGATTCAACAACGAAGAGCAGCAACGTGAAATTATTGGGATTATTCGTATTTAACTTTACAAGCGTTTGTTTGAAAACGTACGAGATGTAGGAATTACAGTTTGAACGCGTCTACTAAAATTCGCGATCGCAGTTGAATTAATGGTTGTTTGAAGATGTTCGTTTAACCAGTCGGTTCCGTTGACATTGCAGCGAGATACTTTTGAATTAAGCGAATTATTGCGCAATTTATGCATAACACGCGAAACTCAATTTGGTGCCTTCGTACGTCAGCTAGTTTATGACGTTATACCAACCTCTTGAAGCATGACTTTGCGTAACGTTTCACCATCACGAGCGCGTCCTTTGCTCCAGCCATAGATTCCGTGACCAAGTTCCACACTCGATTCGCGGAAATCGCGCAGCCTAAGACAGTTGTGGCGATCGACATCGATATCAACCAGCTGATCAAACCAGCTGACATCGCTGGCGGTCGCAACGGCGGAGGATAATAGGATGACCAAACTTGTTGCCACCACTGGTAGGAGACGTCTCGATATTCGGATTCCTGAACGGAACAAACCCTTTCTAATTAGAAAACATATAGCAAACAGTCGATATACGAGAAATTCGTCAACGAAGAATTATACATCGCTTGTTTTCTGAACTCTTTTTGAATGCGACAGTCTTGATAAAAATGGCTGTTTGCAACAGTGTAAATAATTTAGACGACGTCAGTATACGTTTCAATGTATCGCAGCTGTCGGACCAAAACCATACCATACTTAGATACCATAATTTCTTCATTCGATGATTCCTTATCTTTTCACGCATCCTTTCATATAAATACGTCGTGTCAAACTTTACGTTAAATTACTCGACGAATTCCCCGAATAACTGGATGCGGATTACGTTGCACGGAAAACACCGTAAAATGGCGAGCAACCTCGTGGCCCTCGAAGGCCACGAACGCAGCGATCGAATAGGTTACGCAAAGCTTTCGTAACTTACGTAACCCCAAGACGTCCAGACGCAGCAGTAGAGCAGCCTCTGCATCATGAGCCAGAGCCAGAAAACCGCGATAGCGACGACCCAGCTGACCAGCAGCTTCAATCAGAAACACGTGTAACGTTATCTTGCACGGACTATCCGAAACTACGCGATACGACGATACCTGAAGACCTTTGTACACCATCGTCGAGGCTACGCTTTCAGCTAACCCGTTGCAACAGGGTGGATTCCTCCACAGAACGATCGCCATAGAGGTCAGAATTAAAAACGAGGGCAAGGTGTGGATGAAGTCCGGGCCAACGGCGATCTTGGCATACTCTCGAAAGACCTTGTGCTGCAGGAAGAGGATCTCGTGCGGCACGGAGAGCAGGGAAACGATCTGCGAATCGAGAGCGGTCAAACAGGACATCGCTGCGGAGGCTGTGCACCAGCCTGGTCACTGGCTATTTATTCACGCCAACATCGACCACGATGGTTAGAGTTTTCGACGATAGAAACGTGACGTTGCGGTCGAAATGAACCGCGTCGCCGATCTTCCTCTATTTCTCCCCTCTTCGCTCTTGATCGGTAGGATCCGTGATAGCGATCGAGGTTTCGACGAAAGCAATGGTCGCGGACAACGATAACAGAGTGGCGTTTTTCGGGGTGAGAAAACGAGGTTTCCGAGGGTTAAGAGGCAATATGGTACGGAGTAACCCTTCGCGTCATTAGAGGATCGAGTATAATCGTCAAATATCGAGTTCTTATTAGCTAAATATTAGGTTTTTTCGTTTTATGAGGAAATAATAGATGCGCGATATTTCTTACTTTATATTAATACGTTGGATTACGTGTGATCCATTTTATTTTACTTATATTATGATGATACGTAAAATTGCCTATTGTTCTGTTTAATATCTTTCGTTGGCTAACCCTTATGGGCTACTTTTTCATCTGACGATGATATTACACCAGAGGGGTTAACACACCTAAAACACAGGGTAGAGAAACGAGCAGTTTCTGTTCGAAGATGGCAACATGACAGAGAAGGGATGTTTTTATCGCCCGAGATGTATGCGCGAAGCGATACGAATATGCTACATTGAATGATACAAAACAAGATTGGCGAATACACAGGGAGACGAATATGACAGGTACTGGTACAAAATTGAAAATAATATTTATTGGCCAATGTTTATGCGAAAGTACATGATACATAGAAAAGTTCTCCGATATTTATACAATGATAAAGCCACGTTCCGCGTGATTAACTTTTTACTTACAACGAAAGAAAAATGCGAATAATACAAAATCCTTGCCAAGGTGTGTAACTTTCAGTCTGGCCGCCTTTATTTACAACTATGTACACGGCGTACGCGATTCTTAGGGCAACTAACAGTCTATATAAGAAAGTAATCCGGTCCAACGAAGGATCCACATTTAGGGAAATCTTCCGGAGCGGGCACCATATCACTCGTGTGTCCAACCTGAAGGATCACGTCCAACCCACGCGTCCATTCAGCTGCATGCTCGTCTCGTAACATCCAGTAGCCTGAAGATTTAATCGAACGATCGTTTAGAATTAAGAAATTAATAATTATTCGACAAAAATAAAAATGATGAAATAATCGAAACCATCTTTCATTGTGCGTCTAGTCATCTGGTATCGTAATTTTCTCGATTAGAACATTTTTCCATGATTATTTATAGGAAGAATTTTGAAATGGAAGAGATGAAATATTTTTTTGAAAGATCTAGTCGAGAAAGGGCTAATACAGTGAAAGAATATTTTTTTAGACGATAATAGACAAATGATGTATTACCTGGATTATCCGCTTTAAACCTGAGGGCGACTGCCCCGAATTTCGGAACAACTACGGTATCTTTAGCCACGGTGCAGTCGAGATTCCGAGAAAGCAGTTGACCTCTGTCGTCCAGGCTTTTTAACTCTTGCAAAGACACGCTGCGACCGAACTTTCTTGCACCCACTACGTAGAAAGTGTATCCGTGCAAGTGGTACACCAAGTCGTCGAGACCGCCTTGTAAGAAGGAGAAGGAGATGTTAAAAAATATTACGAAAAGAACTGATGTTTAGAAACAATATGATGATCTCTCTCTCTTTCTCTCCTGAACATTTCTATTCTTCGAGGACTAAGAACGTACATCAATTTAAAGAAACAGAGATAAGTCATTTGCCTCTCATAGAATTTGAACCGCTTATCGAACTTAAGTTACACACGAACGTTAAAATAATTACTTTTCGAAATTTGCTTTGAATCGAATTTTTATCATTTTTAAATGGAATTTGAAGCTCCAAGTACATTTTATCGTTTGAGAAATTTCTCCAGTTACACTTTCCCAGTTTACAGTTATTTCTTTTGAATTTGCGAAAGCGTTACCAAAAACAAGCTCGAAAACTATAAACGAGAAAGTTGAAAGGTAATACTCGTCAGGAACGGGAATGGAATTAAACGAAGAAATCGCGTTTCCGCTTATCGTGAGAAACAATCGTCCGGATGGAATAAAGTGGCGATCAATATACCCAGCCTCCGCGACGTAGAGAAATATGGATCAAGGTTCTTAACTCGAGGCAACGCTTCGGTGAGTTAATCCGGCTCGTCTCCTCGTCCGATCCTTCCAAAACACTTGGTGCCTTCTACGTACCCTTATACAGGGTGGTTGGTAACTGATGGTACAAGCGGAAAGGGGGTGATTCTACGCGAAAAAAGAAGTCGAAAATATAGAAGAAAAATTTAAAAATTTGAAAATTTAAAAATTTAAAAATTTAAAAATTTTAAAAATTAAAAAAATAACGTCAATCGAGACAACGGTCTACAGTGAGATCCGTTATAACGAGACGCGATAAAGTGCACGCGTACCGAGCGAAAATTCAAAGTCGATTTTCTCGAAAACAAAGCCTCAAATGAAAAATTGTTATTCTATATTTTCGACTTCTTTTTTCGCGTAGAATCGCCCCCTTTCCGCTTGTAATACCAGTTACCAACCTTAAACAATTATTACATAATTGTAATAAAATTTTCGCGTAAAGGAACTGGACGTAAACCTTTCTATTTTTACGAAGGAAAATTAAACATCGAAGATTATTGCCTCGAGTTGCTTACTCTCCGCTTCTCTACTCAGTTTTCAGAAAAAAAAAAAATAATATTCGTTCCAATGCAAGTAATTCGAAATTCGATTTTAAATCAGACCGGTTTTATCGACGAATAGAAATCGATGAAGGATATTTTGAATCGTGAAATCACGATGTTTGACAAGTTAGATAGTCGAGGAAGGCTAGGAATATTTATTGCAGATGGACGCGCGAACGTTCGCCACGATGGTAACTGAAAACCTAATTTCTCGTTTCATTTTATGACGAAGCCTTAGGACGGTACACGTATGAGGTATCTTCCGTAAGACGTCGATGCGTGTTAATATAATCAGCGCGATATAGACAAATGTTGGAACAAGAGGAAGCGTAATTTGTTTTTCTTTCCGCGATTTAGCCTATTTTCACGCTGACTCAACCACAGTCGTTCAACTACGCGTTAGTCGTAGAGAATTTTTAATGACGCACATGAGCAGCGAAATGAGGAATCTTGTGTATTTTAAAATGTACGATGGTAGATGCTAAGAAAACAGAGATGCTATTCCGCTCGTCGTTTCTTAGCGGTTCGTTTAAACGAGCTAACATTAGCGAAGGATGAATAGTTTCCTTCTCATTTTCGAGATCGCCTCGCTATTCTATATCGTATGTTGCTCTACGAAATTGCAAGAAGCAAGAAAGAAAAAGAAACGAGCATCTTTTTCTGAAATTTCGCTACGATGTTTCCGAGCAGCGTGTCGTCATCTCAAAGTAATCGAGCAATTACATTAGGAGGTTTCGATCGGAGCGGTGTTTAATAGAAAAATTGGATCATCCGATAAAAGCGACGAATTAAAGTTAGTTACCTTGATCGAGGAGAATGATCTCGACGGTCGCCCCGAGCGGTATATACCTCACATGAACACACTCGCAAACGTCTGAAGCGGTAGCGTCGCTACGGCGGCAGCGTCGC